TTTCCCTGCTAAACTGAAGGACTCTTTCGAAAACACTTTTTACAAAAATCAGAGTCGCTCTCTGTGATCCATAAATAAAAAAAAATACTAAGCTGAATTGCATTGAATATAGCCAAATTAACTTATTCTCAAAGTAGAGTTACAGTTGTACGTAAATGCTCTACCAATACTTGTTACTACACAAACACAGACCAAAAAGACAGTTTGTGTCCCAGATGGCTTATCTAGGTCTAAGTTGTCACATGTGAGTTACGTAGTGTTCTCTGTGTTTCATGTGTGTTCTAAGCCACCTACAACTAAAAACAGGTTTCCTTGTTCTGAGCCTCCAAATACTGCAAGTCTCAGAAAAGGCATGTCAAACCCCCAGAACATTTTCATTTGTTAACAAATGCTGGTTGGAAGGTAAGTTTGGCTCTATGTCTAAGGAGGAGGAAGGGGGAGGGAAATGGGAATATGGGTGATAAAGTAAAGATCATCCTGCTGGTAGTGGAGTCAAAGTATTAATTAAACATTTGTTTAATTATGGAAACCACCAAGGGGCTGCAGATTTTATGTGCTGAGATGCTTGGGATGGATAGTTCATCATCAGATGAACTCTTAAGATGTGCATGGAGAATGCTTAAGATGAACATGGTGCTGAATGCTGAACTGAAGATGCCAAGTTCCAGAGATCATAGACCTTATCTATGCCCTTATTACACACAGTTTGTAGTGTATTTTCAGTAGTACCAACACCACTTGTCTCTGTAGTTCAGTAGCTCTGAGAAATTATACTGTAGGCAGCCTATTGACAACTAGTGCCATGAGCACAAGTTGGTTACACTTGCTTAGAACAACCTGCTGCTTAAAATAATAGTGGTGGTCTGTCTGCAGTAGAGTTCCCAAGGTTGCTAAGTGCTCGTGGAGAGTCCTAAGTCTGAGAACTGATGCTACAGAAGTATTTTAGGATCTAGTCTAACAACATGATCCTGTAGATACTATTGGTCTAATGCTACTGAGTATGAGAACTCTTAAAGCACGAGATTTTATGGTAAGTAAACATTATTACCAAATTACTTTTGTGCAGAATCAGAATTTACGTAGGCTGGCTTACTACTTGCATAATCCTGAGCCTTTGTATCAAGCTGAGTAGTCATCAGCATTTAGCTGATTCTGAGCATTGTGCATCCCCTTTGCCTCTGTTTTGGAAGAGGAAAATGAGGGTCTAAAAGTATTAATTGCACCAACACATTGATGGGAACACCACAGTGAAATGGTGTTGGGCAGCTCAGGTGTTGCAAAATGAAATAGGTTTGCTTCCATTGGGGGGACGGGAATAAACAACTAAAAAACCTAAACAAACAAAAAGAAACCAAACAAACCCCACCACCAAAAAACCCAACTACAAAACAAAAAAAACCCAAAACAAACCACCAAACACACCCTCCGCCCAAACCCCAACAAAACAGAAAAAATGCAAACAAACCTCTCCTCCCCACCCAAAACCTCCAAAAAATCTAAAACATTAATAAAAAAACCCAACCCCCTTGACAAAACAAACAGTACTCAAGAGACCCTCACTATAATTGAACTTCACATTTGCTGTCTTTTCACTGCTCTCTCCAGTCACTAATGGTGGTTTTCGTTGGATACTATGTATCTTTTAGAATGCATCTACACTAAACACTTATGCCTGGATGGGAGGCAGATACACTTGGAAATTTATGACCCTTGTTCACAGGTAAGAATTTGGGGGGGGGGCAAAGAAAGGCTGTTCTTCATTCTACCTGTGTAATGGTAAAAAGCGTTGGGGGGGGTTACAAACTTTTCGTCTGTTCTTGGAATTTATACTTGCTGATTTTTTGAAAAAACTGAAATTTTATAGTTGCTCTGGCTCAGAATTGTTGAGTACTTTCCCATTTCATGGAGGAAGCCCTTTGTTCCTTAAATTTTCTATAAATGCTTTTGCATTTTGGAATATTGCTAACAGAAATAACTTTTCCCACTTCTGCTTTATATACGTAAATACAGAGAAATTATAGGATTATGAGAAATTATAGGATTATATGCAGTTTTCTCAAATACCCTAAATGGATGAAATTTAGTTTATAAAGCAAGCAGTTTATTAAAAGTCTGCAGAAATGGTCAAAGTAGGCAGGCTTGGAAGTAAGACTTGTATTCACAGAACAGATCCAAGGAAAGCCATAACACAGGCTTGCATGTGTTGACAGGTGAACTTTGATCACAATAAACCATTTGTAAATAAAGTTTTTTTGTATTAACTTGTTTTCTGCTATTACAATGACAGAGAAACTTAGGTACTGCATAACACATGCAGTCCTATGTAGGTCTGTCTGGCTAATCATGTTAGCTTGCGAGGTTCCCTTTTGGGCAGCGATCTTGCCTCTTGCCAACTAAGGATAAGGAATACTAAAGCCAAAGCACTGAAATTCTAACCTACACTCAAATTCAAGGACTCAAACTTAAACCAGTGAGCACATAAAATGAACCACCAAACAAATGTACCTTTCTAGAGACAAGCAACAGCATTGCTTGTCCCAGGGAAATGGGATCATGAAATAGCCACTGTGCTGTGTAACACTGTGGAGTCCTCCCTTGCCCTACCTTCTGTTACAATCTACTGTTCTGTGAGCTAGCTTGACCTCTCTCAGACCCCTTTCCTAACCACCTATAGCATCCACTTACTGTCATATTAAATCCTGTGCCATGTGAACAACTCTTTACTCAGATACTTGAAACATTGGGAGTGGCAGCTATAGAGTAAAGCAAATTAGACTACATTATGGGTAGAGACTTTGGTTGCTACAGTTTGGGCACCTTTTTGCTTTTAAGGAGACCAGAGATTAGCTGTGTTAAGGGCAAGTCCTCTTGCCAGTAGTCTTTGCGCTGTCTTGTACCAGTTCTTTCTTAGAAACAAGGCCTAGCTTTAGCTGTTTGCTGCTTTCTTCCTGACTACTTCTTAGTGCCTGCAGAGGAGTAGGTAGCAAGTAGTGGTGGTATTGCTTTTTGTCTGATAGGACTAGTGATTCAAGAGAGAGACAGTGTGGGGTATGGAGGTCCTGTATCCCATGGGAGCTGGGAAAGAAAAGCAGGTTCCAAGAGGAAGGAAGAGTTGCCATTTTTGTTTCTGCTGCCTAAAAATCTTCCTGCTCTCTGACTTCCCTCTAGTAGCTGGATCCCTGGTCTGCAAAGCTCACTGTCCCTTCATCCATCTGGGAAGCAGCTGTGACACACAAGTCACCTTTCCTGCTCCTAAACCTGCTGCACAGTCACCACATCATTAAAAAACTGTTGTATTAAAGATTCCTAAGTTTTCAGGCAGTTCGGAAAACTTGTTTCACCTTTTCTTTCTCATGCATCCCATTTCACTGCCAGCATTCAGTTACCATTCCTCATGGTAAGTTACAGCCTTCCCAGTCCACCTATTTATGATACTACCGTGCTGCCCTGATGCTGAGCTAATCAAGGCAACCAGGGCAGGATGTCAGTGGAGATTATACATTGCAAGTAGCAAAATACTAAACTAGTGAGGGAACAACTTAAACAGTCCTCAAATGTCTATTCAAGACAGGTTTTCCACAGAGCAAAAGTCAAATTTTTTTTTTTCCTGGTCGGCTTCCAGTATTTTATCTATCTTGGGTCACATGGTCTTGCTAGCTGCTGCCAAATCATCTGCAAGGATAAGCTAATTTAAAATAGTTTTGAAATCGGCTGCTGTTGCTTTCTAGAAATCATAAGTGTGACAGTTTCTTGGGGTGAAGGGTCTCAAGGATTTGTATAACCCCATTATCACTTGAGTGACTTTTGTCACTAGTTTTATTGAAATTGATTGCAGATTGAAATGAGATTCTTTTCTAGCGCTCTAGAAATTTATCCTATGGGCAAATACGGTTTCAGACTTGATCAATGCAAAGAAGAAACAAAACAAATGAAGAAACAAAAGAAAATAGTTAAGCTTACTGTAGTCAGAATATTAGGAACATGCAAAACAGAGCTACAACCAGAAACTGCACAAATATTGATGGCTCCTGTGCTTCATTCTCATGTACCTCTGCAGAATATTCAGCATAAGCAATGGCTGTACAGGTTATGTTTTGTACTGCTTAAAGTATAAATGTTTCATAATGAATTTGTCAGTGATCCATAGTGCCATCTGTAGTGATGGTTATTTATTAGGCTTTTGGAGCAAGACTCACCTGAATTCAATGCCAGCACCTAGACCTATTAATATCTTTTGCAGTAAAAGATACAACATTCTCACATTCACAGTGACAAAGGAAATGCTCTGAAGTGACAACAGTAACATTCTTTTTGCATGTGAATTTGAACTTCTTTCAGACACAGCAGGGGAAGCTCTCCCTCACAGACGAGCTCCACTGGGCTGATGGATTTATCATTGTTTATGACATCAGTGACAGAGCATCATTTGCATTTGCAAAAGCATTGCTGTACAGGATCCGAGAGTCTCACATAGGAGCTTGTAAAAAGTAAGTGGCATTATTTTTTTTCCCCTCAGCAAACATACAAAAAAGACGGGAACATTTCTGTGAGCTGTAGGCATCCTAGTAGCAATTAAAATTGAGCAGAATCCAAGTGCCGTAACACAATACCAACAATAAGGTACCTGAAGGTAAATTGTGTTGCAAATTGCAATGTATTTCACTGAATCCAAAGCCAAGTATATCAGGATTTTTGTTCTTATTTGTTACAGCACTACTATTTAAATAATTGCTATAAATCTATCTGCTGTGATTTACATGGGTAAAAAAGCTGGCATAGTCAGTCTATGCTTTTACTTCCCCACTCCATTACCAATGGACATGCACCAATGCGGAGGGTGGAAGAAAGCATTTCCCATAATAAATAAATCGAATACCATGAATGTCTCCTAAACTGCCTTTAGCGATGACCCCAACATTATTTATGCACGTGAGTGACCATATGGTAAGAAACAAACTACTTGCTTTCAAAAAGAACGATCAAAATTGCAAGTCTGAGTACATCTGGTAGTGTGTATTTCTGCATCAGTCAGCTGAGATGCTTTCTAAATAAAGGAGAGTGAAATCCTTTCCTTGTATCAGAAGTGGAGTAAAAAGAAAACCCAACGTTTTTCTGTCTGTTTTAAAGCTGACCTTTCTTAATTAAAGTTTCTCTGGAAGGAGTAATTTTAGCAAAGCCTGGAATTAGGATTCCTGTGTTTTCTGAATTATGCCACTGACACTGATGTATCTCTTTGACTTTATTCTGTTATCTACAAATGGAGATAACGATTAGCTTGCTTCTTCATGAAGCCCAGGAGCTGACAATATACATAGTGGTATAGAGTATGAAAACTGCAGTGGATGAAAAATACATGAATTCACAGAGTAAAGGAACCAAAATGAAAACCTACTGATAGAGAATAGCTTCTGTGGAAAATCCTTTGACATTTGACTATGGTAAATGGAAAACTATAACTCTACCTGGCAAGGTTAGGGGGTTGGTTTGTTCTTTTGGATTTTTTGCAATGCCTATTATCCTGAATGTACATACTTTCCTTACAGGCTCTATATAGCAGAGCATACAGCACAGTAGTGTAACATATCTTTTCTCTAATCAGAACCTTTTTGATTTCAGAATGGTCGAGTCATCAGTATTTTTAGTTGGTAATAAACAGGATTTATGCCACATGAGGGAAGTTGGCTGGGATGAAGGACAGAAGCTGGCAACAGATAACAAGTGCCAATTCTGTGAACTGTCTGCAGCAGAACATTGTCAGGAAGTTGTGGCAATGTTCACGAAAGTCCTGAGGAATATCACTTCAAATTTCAAAGTGAAGGAAAAGAGACGACCAAGTGGATCAAAGTCAATGGCCAAGTTAATCAACAACATGTTTGGAAAGAGAAGGAAATCTGTGTAGAAGATGGTTAGTCTTGAAGTAAGAACAAGCTGAAATAATGGAGCACAGGCAGCTCTTGGGACTCAGCCAATTTCCTCCAAAGGTTAATGTCTGGAAGAGTAAGACAGTAGAAACCAAAGGCAGGAGATAGTATGGTCAAGTGGATAGGGACTAGACCTAGAAGACCTGACCTTCTATTTCCAGTTCTACTACAGATTTACTGTGTTAGGGCTATGTCACTTAAACTCTAAGCTGCTCATCTCACCCTTTATCTCAAGTTCTTCAGAGGAGAATTTTAGTCTGTATTTATTCAACACCAACGTGGTCTTGGATAGAGCTTTTAGGTGCAACTGAAGTATAAACAGTTATTTCCAATAAACTCAGCCTTGCTGATGAAAATACTACTTCAGAATTCTGAGTAGTTGTTTTTTTTGTGCAAGAACACTTGCACTAAAGAAGAACAAAGTGCTCCTGCTTCATGTGATAATGTGTTTATATTTAACTCAAAGAAGGATGGCTCAGATCCTTGTGTGTCTAAAGGTTCCTAACACCTGCTGAAATTCATAAGAATTAAATGCTTAGACACCAAATCTACAAAAGGTATTAACCTGCAAAGCTGCCTTGCAGAGGCAACAGAAGTAGGGAAGCAGATAAACAAAGCAGTAGTGTCTCATGTTTCAGTATCTTTTTTTTTTTTTTCAAGTGATGAAAGAAAGTAGAGAAGGTTGAGGAGGGTGGGAACTGAAGTGAGTGAAATGTTAGTCAGTGAGCATTGGACTGCTTAGGCAAGGTCATTTAGTGAAATAATTTTATGGTTAGGGCCAGTGTAAGGCCGGGTAACATCTTGGGCTGATCCCCTTCACAGAGCAGTTGTTTGTGAGCTGGAACAAAGTTTCCTTACCTGTAAGGTGGATGTGCCTGTTCAGTTTTAGATGGGAGTGGAAGCTTGAAAAGCACATGGACTGGTAAAAAGTACAAGTTCTTTAGGATGTCTGCCTGGATTTAAAGGTCAGCCTGCTGGTAAGACCTGTACTTCTAACTTGCACAGAGTGTTTTTTTTTCCTAAGGACAAATGTCTTTACAACTAGTCATCGCTATGGTGTTGAAATGGCGCTTGAGAGAGCACTAAGGAGTATGTTAGCTGCACTTTTTAAATGTGGATATTAAACATCAGATGGGTCTAAATATGTTGTCAGTTGACATTCAGAGCTTTTACTGTAGACAACTAAATAAGGGCTTCGCCCAGCATGTTTGAAAGTGCTGTGCTCATACAGAAATTATGAAAGGGAAGATAAGTGATCTGAAGATGAATTACTGCTTTCTAACCATTCTAGAGGACAGCTGGGATTTGATCTTTGTAAGTTGCTGAGTTGAAGCTACCTCTGCTCTGAAATTTTACCTGCATTGAAACCAGTAAGATTACTTTACCAGTCACAGCAGAATACTGATTTTCAAATGTCCACGCCTATAAGACAACATACAAGAGCTATATAATCTTAGTATTACTGTTATAAAATAAAACTAAATCACACTTTAATAAGTGTTGACTGAAGATCGCTTCCTTTTTGTAAGGAAAACATACTGTCTATTTCACTTGTTTTAAGACTACAAATATTGGAATATAGTTCTCAGTGTTGACAGGCACAAGTGTTGCTTTATTTCCATGCAGATGCTGCTCTGCTATATCAGGAATAGTGTATTTAACTGTGTTGTCAATATTTATGAGGCTGAACTTGAAGACCACTTGTGTATACCCTTCAGCTTTCCCGCACACATGGAATTCCAGAACTACTAATAGACTGTCTATCTATCAGGCAGCTGTATCTCACCAGCTCAAGCATTGCCAGATTCAATAACTCTTATCTGTATTTACTGCTATGGTATTAAATAAACTGGATATAAGATGGATATATTAATGCTTTTTTTTCTTTATGGTGGTATAAAGCTACAGACTTTTTGTTTTGACTTCTGTAAAAGTGAAGCACTATGCAGATCTGGAATTCAAACTAGAAAAAAATAAGTCTGGGATTCAGACACTTGCACAAAAGAGAGCCTTTAGACTTGTTTCCTGTACACAATGATGAAGCCTTTATGTACCTTTATGCAGTGAACAGTAGAGAACTTAAAAAAAAATAAAAATCTTTATCCTTTAAAAATTTGTCAAGATAGCCACAGAGAAGCTAATTAGTTTTGATTTGCTCACATTAATGGGAATGTGGACTTCCAGCTAGGTGGAATCTGCAGTATGCCCCACAGTTTTCCTTCCCTTTTTGTCTAGATGGGGTGTTAGAACACAGAGCTGCTGTCTTCTGGCCCATGTGCTAGGTTGCACTCACCTGAAAACCAGCTGAAACAGCTGCAAGATGCATTTAGACTTAAGCATACTAAAGCACCTGGTATAGACATAATTTGATGTTCTCAGGATCAGGATTTCACTTGTGTTTTATTCCTGTTAAATGCAGATCAACACGAGTAGAATGGGGGAAGGAACTCAATTTTAAAGCAGTAAAGCAGATAGATGTTCTTCCTTTCTAAGTTTATTATATTAGTATTTTTTTTTAAAGTAAAGGCCTTTTAAAGAAAAAGATACTTAAGACTGATATATATATATATACACATATAACTACCTAAGTGTTTGTGGAGTTTTAACAGTAAAGGCAATATGTTACTGCCTCAGCCACATTTGAAAATGCAAGCAAGAACCCTGCTTGCATAACACAGTAAATGATGTAACTGATGTTTGATGCTCACCCTGAACAGTGACATCACCTAGAGCATATCGAACTCATTGAAGAGAGTGAAAACAGAGCTATTTGTGTTGCCACAGATTACTTCAGCATATGACCCCATCCTTTCTCCCCAACAGATTTTGAAATTGCCATACAAGAGTTAAAAATTTCTTACTGTCATATCTGGAAGTCCTTGTTTATATGAACTTTCTGGTTTCAGTAAAATTTTACCTGAGAAAGACACTCACAATTGATATTCTTTCTCCCTGTCTTCAACTTGTTTTTACTTTAGAAACAGTGACATAAAAGCAAAGAGATTCTACTGAAGTATAAAGGTAATAGCCCCTGGCTCCCAAATGCTGTGTCTCGGAGAGCTTTCAGGTGGTTTTTGAAGCTCTTACTATAGTTTTGAAATAAACATTCAAGACAAACACAACCTCAGCTCCTTTTCCTGCTGTCATGTCTGTATGCATTAAACTCTTTCTTTTTGTAAATCCCACTACAGTCACATTCACAACAGGGCAGAAGGGAAAATGTGACAGAAAAACTTAAAACATGATACTCCTGGAAGAAGGAATAATTAAGTGCAGTATTGAGTAGACCAACAGAAACATGTTGTTTCTTTCTAATATATTTAAATCAGGATAGCAATAAAAAAGGTGAATCAGAAGGTTTGATGCTGTGCTACACTCTGAAGACAAAAGTAACTACCATAGTTTTTTAGCCTATTGGTAGAAGCTGATTTCTGAAGTCATGGAAGGGTGAACACAAGTGCAAAGACCTTATGAGTCATGCAGGGACAGTCTATTGCTTTCCTTTCTATCTGACTACACTGCTTTGAAGATGGTGCACCAGCAGATATTTGAAGATGTCTGTTCCTAGCATTCTGTCCGTCCGTCTAGGAGGCAGAGACCTGGACAGATGCTGTGGCTATTGGCCTGAACAGGTATGATGCTCTCACTGACAGTTGGATCCAGATCACTGAATGGTATCTTCAGAAGGTACACTATAAAGAAGAGGGTATTATGAATATCACTCAAAGCAAAGCTAAAGTGCAGTAAGTATCTAAGAATATGCTAATTTTTCCATCAGGATGCCTGTTGGAGCAGGTGCTTTAGGTTAATGGAGCTTTCATACAGATCTACTTTGCTTACGGACAGAGGAACAAACTCGAGGTCTGATTAATATACTTGAAAGGAATCTTTGACTACCTGCTCTGAAGCAAGAAATACATTTAAAAAAAAAAAAAAAAGAGACTACTAGAATAATCCAGAGCAATATTAAACTTTACTTATATTAAAAAAATGAACCCTCTACCTCCTTAAACCTGTCCACAGGAACATAGGCCTTTTCATAGCCTTAACCTGCCCATCGGGAATAAAAACAAGGGGAAGCTGAAGTTTGATGTACTGTTCAGCCAGTTTGAAAAGCCAAGCCTTTGTTTACACGCCTGACTGTGGATCTCGGCACCTAACTATCAACTTCTATTGTTTAAAACTTGAGTTTCATTTTTCCATAAAGAAGCAGTGATGTAAAAGCGTACTTCCCCCCAACAACTAATATTATGTGAGACAGGCAGGCTATACTGGGTAGGAAGTTATTTTTAAACAGCCATTACTCTTTTGCAGAAACAGACTGTAAGTTTCTGCCTTCTTTTAATTGCTTTACAAAGTAAATTGAGTCCCTCTGGTTATATAAATAATATCCATGTTTAGCCATATATATTTGACATGACTTGAGCCATTTACTGCTACATTCATTTTTTTAGGACTGGCTAGGAATTCAGATATGTGTTTAATTTCTGCTGAACTCTGTCAAACATCCAGAGTTTTTCCAGTGGAGGCCTGTAGCAGTACAGAGAAATATGTACTGCAAGCAAGACGAGCGGAGAACAGAGCTGTTACCGTGCGGCTTGAGGCAAACGATCTAAGCATGTGCGTCCCCTCGTACACTCCTATGTTCATATTCAGCAGAAAAATGGCACTGTATCTACATTACAGAATGTATTTTACTACTTGAAGTAAATATAAAAGAAGCAGAAATTAAAACATTTAAAATTTTAGGCATTGTGGCATGTAGTGAAGATTTCAGTTTTAATACACATGACTTTTTAAATAGGCTTCACACAGGGTTGTGGTTGTGGTTGGTGTTTTTTTTTTTCAAAAGCGATTTCTAACTTTTCAGGCAAGTTCCCTCCCAGAGGAAACTTTATTTTAGAGATGCTCTGAGCCTCTTGAACGATCTTTTGCCGAGTGCCTTTTGAAAGTCAGCGGCTGCTTAATGAGGAGCAACCGGGCGGCTTTACGGCTTCCAAGAGCTCCCTCCCGTGGCTGTTTGCTCACACTTCATCCTCCGCCCTGAGCAACGAAGCCTTTTAGCTTCTCAGGTTGAAACATCAATGCTAATAAGCCTAAGAACGCTGATCACAAAGTACAGGTGAAAACCCTCCTGCCTTGCAGTACGATAAAATCCTACTGTCGATTATGCTGAGCTTAACAATATGACGTTTCATAGGCTTCCTTTGACAGTATCCTTACTAATAAAACTGCAAATGCGGGTAAGGTTTTTCTCATGACTGACACTTCTGCTCAGCTGTTTCACTGAAATAAAGTTCAGCTATCTCATCTAAGATGCTGAAAGGTTTCCTGTTAACATACTGTCCG